ATGTTACATAAGCCCTTTCATTGAGCAAGATTTGTGATTAACTCAACCTTTTTGACAAATTTGTTTAGTGATTTTGGATCTATATTTTCGACTTTGTTGCCGGCACAATGGCAAAACTGGAACCTCCTGAAGGTGGCAGTTTCTTGGAGGTTTGGAAGTTCGAGTTGCATTTGGAAGTGTCTGGAAACAGTCTTTGTCAGAGCTCAGTGGAGGACAAAGATCTCTACTCGCACTTTCACTTATTTTGGCCCTGCTTCTTTTCAAACCTGCACCACTTTATATTTTGGATGAGGTAAAGCAAATATTCCTTTGGTCCTAAGTTTGGTATTTTGTACTATCATATATGGAAATATTTCTATGTTGAAGGCTATAATTCACTGCATATATATTACTTGAAGACTGTACTATGACAGATGTTATGTTGAATTCTTCTCTGGAATTATCAATTCCATAAATTGTGCAAAAATAAAGAATAAAAGCAAGAGCATCTTATTGTACACTCTGGCAAGCCAATCACTCCTTTCAAATGCTACCCTGTACCACTTATTAAAGTATCTGAACGCTAGAAACTTGAACATTAGACATCAGTTAATCCATAGTGTACTCCGAAGTCATTATCTTGTTATTTGAACAACATCATGAAGAGAGTGTGATCCACGTGCACAGGTAGGTGCTCCTTCTACCTCTCCAGTTGTATTTTGGCATCGGTCAGTAGGAAATAGCATATTTATACATTTAGGTATTATAGACCAGACAGCAGGAACTCTGTGCTTTGATTAGTTTTTTAAAATGCTTGTGTTGTTCACAGTCTTCTCTTCCATATCTCTTATTGGTTGTGCATAAAAATTGGGGTGGGCTGTTAGATAGATTCCACAAACTCTTTTCATTGAGGAGTTATTGGGAGACTGTAAGATCAATTTGCATGGAGTTTTGCTTTTTCTGGCTTACTGTCGTCTCCAACTTGGAGGTTCATTGGAGGTGGATCTCTGATCTTGTTCTATTTAGTTGTCTTTTGATTTTTTTTTTGTTTACCTCCTTTATGCAGGATAATCAGTTTGCCACCTAAACTGCGGTGACATTGTTTGGACTATTCTCAATAAGATTGTGTGAAATATAGCTCAGCTTTAGTTTTGTAAGTGCTTGTTAAACAAGATGTAAAATTTGTCTGGCTTGCCTGGCAGGTTGATGCTGCTCTTGATCTAAGTCACACGCAGAACATAGGAAGGATGATCAAAACTCACTTTCCCCATTCCCAGGTTCATTATCTTTTTAGTAATTGGAAGTTTAGATTCTTGAGAAGTGTTTCACATTGATTATCTGGACACAATGAAGCAAAAAGCGACTGTCTTCATTATTGAAATTCTGGAAGACAAGTCAGATGAATTATCCAATGGGCATTTAATTGTTATTGGATGGAAGCTGAAAGAATTACTTTTGATATTGTCACTTCTTACTAATTCATCATGGTACTAGTTACTTTTCTTTCATGTTGTTTTGCAGTTTATAGTTGTTTCTCTGAAGGAAGGCATGTTCAACAATGCCAATGTTCTCTTCCGGACAAAGTTTGTGGATGGCGTGTCAACTGTGCAAAGAACTGTGACATCCAATCCAAGAAAGTGATATTGATTAACTGGTGGGCTTTTTCTTTAACTGATAATATCTCAGAATGAAATTCTTTTATGCTTTATTGGTCTACCTGTGGTGTCTTATGCATAATCCAGACATTAAATTGGTATTATTCTCCTATATGTCTATCTAATGTAACCTCATCCACCTTAGCATGATCGTATCTCTCCAAGTTTCTAGTTTTGCTTGTTTTTTGTAATACAAATGGCATAGGAAAAGATGAGTGGGTGATATTCCAAAAGATATTAATTTGATAGCAAAGGAGTTCTTTCTTGTCAAAATATTTTAATATCTTCTCCGCTGGAGACATTCAGGTACTTCAGTGAAGGATCTAAGTTGGTATTTGCAAACAATTGTGCATACTTAAATATTGAATGAACATGCTAAGTGACCTCTAACGATATCCCTTCTGACAATTGATCTTTTGAAGTCTACGCTGTACATTTACACATTCTGTGCAGAAGCTATGACACTTGCACAACTAGATTATTCCACTAATTGGTCAGGTTGAGGTATCACGGACATCTGGAATTTCTTCTTTTTTTTGGGGGTTGGGTCCAATGTTCACAAGGACTATAGAGATTTATTTGATCCTGTAAAGAATCACTAATCAGATTCACAAAAAGTACTTTACAGTGATCAAATTACAAAAAGTAAAGGTCAGTTTTATGTGGTATGAATGCGATGATCAGTATATTGGTAAATCCCCAGATTGCAGAATGACAACAATCCTTGAAGATATTTTAAGTTTAAAGTCATTGTTTCGAATGTGCTCTTTTTGCTTAGTTAGTTATGATGATAAGGATGTTTGTGCTAATGTTAGCTCATATGCTTTAGGCATTTTGATGGATGAGGAATTTCTTGTTCCTCCGTGTCATTGAACACGTGTTGTACAGATGCTCGGGCCTTTGCTCGAATTGTAAATTCTCTTTATAGTTCAATGCAAGTAAACTAACGTTTCGGAAAAAAAAAAAAGGAATGCGATGATCTAAACTCTGGAACGAAATATCCTTTAACTATCTTTGTATACAATCATCATGTTTCTGTGCAGTCTATTCGGAAGTAGATTTGTTGAATTCAAATTCTTAATGTTTAGTTTTTTTTTCTTTTGGTTGCCTTTACAGTGCCTTCGAAGCTAATCTAGACAATTGGAGTGAAATTCTATAGTCTTGAATGGTGCTGGAGTTGTGATTGTCGAATGATGATGCTGGTGTTTCCTCTAGTAATTGTACATATTAGATTGGCTGGTAATGAGTGTAATGACTCGGCAGCTTGAATGTACATGTAAATAGGTAGTAGTGTTGTACCAAATCAATCTTGCTTTTCCTCTACTGATGATTTAATCCAGGCAAAACCTGCGCCAGTTTCCTATTAGTGCTTGTTTTTAGTATATGGTATTCTGAGCCAATCAATTGCAGGAATTGCACAATCTTGCACAATTCATCAGTTGTGACCAATTGATTGTAGCCAACTAATTCTGTTTCAATTGTAATCTCTAGAACTAGGATTTGGTGGTTGACATTTTTTTTTCCCTAAAGTTGAAGTTTAGTCTTTGGTGGTAATCATTTGATAGCACATCATATTGTGATTGGGACTACTGAAAATTCACCCTTTTTAAGTTCTGTATGCTATGGTTTTGAGGACAAAGAGGAAAGGCTCAGGTATTATTCTAGCCAGTGAAGTCCGAATTCTTTTTTTGTTTGTCAATACGATAGCTTTCTATACTCTGGGGAAGGGGAGGACTTGAAAAGATCTTGAGGTAACTTGGAGGGGATTAAATTATCACCGGATCAGACGGGTTCACTACACACCCGCCTGAATTTTTTAAGTAAGATCACATTTAATTGTGACAAATTAGTGGGAGGCAAGGGTTAATTGGTGGTGACCATCAGCTCAAAGGCTGGTGGTTACTTGTGAAATCCGAGTTCAGATGTGCATAGTTAGTGGCTGCTCAAAGACTAAAAAGATTTGATGGCAAACAGGCGTCGTTGACCTCAAGAGGGAAGGTTTCTATGCCAATGGTAAAAACTTAATAAAAGGGTAAAGATTTGATGCCAAACAGGCCTCGTTGACCTCAAGAGGGAAGGTTTCTATGCCAATGGTAAAAACTTTAAAAAAAGGGTAGATAAATTAAAAGTCAAAGATTTTCGTTGTCATTATCAAAAAAAAAAAAAAAAGATTTTCGTTGCCTCATTTAACCTTTAACTGAATACTACTAATATAATTCTATAAAAGTTCTGTTTATTAGTTAATTGGAAAACATCCTTTCACAATTTTTAACAACCATCCATGTCATGACTCTTATTTAAGGCCAAGATTCTTTATGAATCAAACATGTCTCAACACTTTTAACGAAAGCCATGGACTGTAGTAGTGTCTTCGACTCATAATCATCTCCAAAATTTTAAACACTTTTTCTAATCACTTTTTTTTTCTTTCTATTTTATATGTATGGTATCACCAAAAAAAGAAACTACGTTATTGATTTAAATAATTTTTTTTAATCAAAATAATCTCCTATCCAAACATACTAGTTAGCGTGTTTAGATAGTAAATTATTTACACAAATTTATCTGCTTGCATCATAAATATATCTTTACTTATGTCACATTAAAAAAACATTTCACTATAAAAATTTTTGTTGCAAAAATTATCCTAAATAATCTCCTATCCAAACGCACTACTAATTTCTTGGCAAGTTTATTTATCACAAAGCAGTAAAAAGAAAAAAAAACACACACACACACACACAAATTGGAAAGAAGAGAGTAGAAATCTAGGGAGAGCAAAGACTCATGGTGTATTCGGAATTACGAAAATTGTGAAATCTGAATTTATCAAATTACTAAATTGAAGTTACTAAATCGCTAATTACTAAAACAGATAATACATTTAAAAGTATTTCATATTAAATAATAATAAGTGAATAGCTTATAACTTATTTTTATTTAAAAAAATTCATTGCTAATTACTTATTCAAATATTTTATTTTTAATTGTCAAATACCACACGAATCAAAGAGACGGTCACTTACGCTGCTGAAGAGACATCCCTTTTCATAATATATTCCGCATACACACGACAAAACATAGTAGTTTACTTGCGATCCCAAAAATAAAAAGTGTAGACTGAAAAAGCAGAGAGATTTTTCTTTTCCTTGAAACCACGAAGGTAAGTTAGTACTACTAACAAGTTTCTCCTCTCCTTCCTTCTTTCCTTTCCTCCTCTTCTCCTCTTTCCTCTCTTCTTCTTGTTTACGGCAAAGTAAGTAGGAGTATTTTTGGTTTTCTTTGGTTGCTAATTTTAGTACTAGGAACTGCCAACTTTTTTTTTTTTGAAATAATATCATATGGATTGATTGATTTGGTGGTCGTATTGGGTGTATTCTAGTCCAAGCTTTTTCAAATCCTTTAATTCCGCTTTCTCTGTCCGATTTCGTAAAATTTCTTCGACCCCTAATTTTAGGGTTTTCAAGTTTTCTCACCTTCCAACAAATGATAGCAGAATTTTTTTGCTTTCATCTTCGCTACGCATCTTCTGATCTCTGCTTCTCAGGTCCATTTTACCGTACTTCAGCTTTAAAGAATGCATTTTTGTTTAGAAGTAGCTGAACCTTAAACGGCGGCGGATTTTTTTCAGCTTGTTTTTAGCATTTTTAACTTTAATTTTCTTGTCTCGATTCATTTTTTTTGGTGTATATAAATTTTCTTCTGCGGTAGATGATTGCTTTATTTGCCTGATTACATTCTTTGTTTCAAAAAATTGGTCTTTTTTCCCCCGATTTTTTTAATTGGTTATTGCTTCATAACAGGTTTTTGAAGAGTTGAAATTCTAGGTCTATAGCTCTTTGGATGCATTAGCAATTCGTGCTCGGTTTTTGGAATTGTGGGTTAGTGAGGTTTGTTGCTAGATATTAGGATTCTGGGAAAATGAGGAGTTCTTGGGCAGATGCTGTTGAGAATGCCAACTCTGGTTCTGTGGAAAATGCTGGGACAAGTGGTGCGAGTGGAGCTTCCGCTACTTCCAAGTCAGCCTATGTCCCGCCACACCTCAGGAACAAACAGCCGACCGCTGAGCCTCCTGCACCGTCTCAGACTGGCCCACCATCAGCTAGTGATAGGTTTGGGTACGGTGGAGCCTCTGGTGGGCCGCGGTATGGTGTCCCTAGGTCTGACTATGGAAGACAAGGGTATGGTGGTGGGGGTCGTGGGGCTGGCGGTTGGGGGAGCAGAGGTGGAGGTTGGAGTAGGGAGAGGGAGGTGAATCCTTTTGGCAACGATGATGCTGATGGTCTTGCGGAGAGCACATTCAGTGAGCAGGAGAATACTGGTATTAACTTTGATGCCTACGAGGACATTCCGGTGGAGACAAGCGGGGATAACGTGGCTCCTCCTGTGAATACATTTGCCGAAATAGATTTAGGGGATGCACTCAATTTGAATATCAGGAGGTGCAAGTATGTAAAACCAACTCCTGTTCAGCGCCATGCCATTCCCATCTCTCTAGCAGGACGAGATCTAATGGCTTGTGCTCAAACAGGTTCTGGTAAGACAGCTGCCTTCTGCTTCCCTATAATTAGTGGAATCATGAGGGGAGGTTTCCCTCCAAGGCCACGTGGAACACGGACAGTATTTCCGCTTGCTCTCATTCTGTCACCTACAAGAGAGCTCTCAGTGCAGGTGGATTCTGTATATCTTTGTTTGATGTGTCTCTTTTCTGTTCATCTTGCAATGCATAATTTTCTTTTTTGTTATCAAATGTGCAGATACACGAGGAAGCTAGGAAGTTTTCGTATCAAACTGGTGTTAAGGTGGTAGTGGCTTATGGAGGAGCACCAATAAATCAGCAGGTAGTTAATTAGTTACTACAGCTCATTTGGATTTAACCAGTACTCATCTTGTGGAATTTTTTATGCATCTTTTCACTTTCTTTTGGTTGATTTATGTGCATTACTCATAAAATTCAGTATAAAATTATGTAGGTATTAAATTATTTTCCTATAGATATGTGAGACTGGGATTAAGCTTTGTTGTTCTATGAGGCACAATAAGCTTGTATGTAACCTCAATATTGTCAGAGACTTTTGTCATCAATAAATGTTCATCTTGGGTCACTTGTCTTTTGCCACATGTAACTCAATTTTCGTTTCAGGATTACAGCCATGTTTCCCAATTGTTTTATTCTTTGTCTAGTGTTTTTGTCCATTAAATCTACGTGGGCCAAATCCTCGTTTTCCTTTTGCCTTTATAGAGCTATATTTCCGTACAATTGAAGGGTTTTTGATAGGCAATGCCATTTCTTAGAAACAGAAGGGTAGAAACTTTTGGAAACAAATATCATTAGCTTTGAACAGGGTAGATTAGAAGGTCAAAAAAGGCAAATGAGAACACACTTCAAGATTTTTAACGTTAGATCAGAATCTAAATTAAGCTTATTGTTAACGAAACTAGATGAGGAACATAATAGAAGTGAGTTTGTATTTATGGTGTCAAATTTCTGATCTTGTGATTGATATGAGGAGAGATTCAGGCACATGATATTCTTGATTTTGCGGATGTGCTAAAGTTGGTAGTCTTAAAATTGCTCAACAATTTGTGAAGTGCCAATTGTGTAACCTGTTACTTTTATTGTGGTAGTTGTGTGTTTCTGGGGGCTGATAGTTTATTATGTTTTGCAGCTGCGTGAGCTTGAGAGAGGAGTCGATATTCTTGTGGCAACTCCAGGAAGATTAGTTGATTTGCTTGAGAGGGCAAAAGTTTCATTGCAGATGATTAGGTTTCTGGCTCTTGACGAGGCAGATCGGATGCTGGATATGGGATTTGAGCCTCAAATCAGAAAGATAGTGGAGCAAATGGACATGCCTCCAAGAGGTGAAAGACAGACAATGCTGTTTAGTGCTACCTTTCCGAAAGAGATCCAGGTTCTCTTGCTAGTTACCTTTTGCTCATAGCTCAATGTGTCTAATTAAGTTTGTTCCGGTTTCTTTGATTTTGAAAGTTATTTTGTGCCGGTTAAGGTGGCTGTATGAGTTGTACACTGCATATATTTCTTGTTAATTTCATCAATTGTCTGGGAGATCAGTTGTATGGAATGCTACATGTGGGCCATCAAATTTTCTGTGAGACCTATTTCATTCACTGAATTGGTGTTTTTACTAATTTTCAATGGTTTCTTATGTCTCATGTGGAAAGCCACTTGAGTCATCTGTAATTTTTACAGCTTTATTGCTTGTACCTCATTGGTGTAAGATTTTTTGGTGTTTATGTGCATTGGTGTTAGTTTACTAACCAACAAAAGCAGTAATGTTCTTGGCCTGTAGGGGTTGCTTAGTAATTCGCATGCAGTCTCTTAAATAGAAATTCCCTCTTTCTGTTGGAGTTCAATTCCTTTGAATTTGGTATTTTGGTCAACAGTTTCTTTTTAGTTTATTTTTTTTCTTATTTTTGGTTTCTCACCCATGTGCAGAGATTGGCATCTGATTTTCTTTCAAACTACATATTTCTGGCTGTTGGAAGGGTTGGCTCAAGTACAGATTTGATCGTTCAAAGAGTTGAATTTGTGCCTGAGAGTGACAAGAGAAGCCACCTTATGGATCTTCTTCATGCACAGAGGGCAAATGGTGTTCACGGCAAGGTACTTTGTGGCACTGTTTATATTCTTTTATTTGAGATTTAGTTGGTTGTCCATTGTATTTTCCATATGTAGCTGAATTGTTTTTTTGTCTGTTGGCTGCTTTTGGTATCATTTTCCTCCTTTCTTCCTTGTTCAGTAAGTTGCTACCGTATGCAATACTAAATGAAATAGTGAATTTTTGTCTCGTGCTGAATAATGCTATCAAGCAGCCTGTTGGGTCTCCTGCTGTTATTAAATTGTCATTACAGTCTAGAATTTTGCCAACCAGTTATGATTTATTCTATGGCTTTGATTTAATTTGGCATAATTTGGATTTTGTAGCAAGCCCTGACATTAGTATTTGTGGAAACAAAGAAAGGAGCTGATGCTCTGGAACATTGGTTGTGCATGAACCATTTTCCTGCAACTACTATCCATGGTGACAGAACACAACAGGTAAACAAGAGAGTGTTCCCAGAATTAAAATCTTTTTGTTGAACTTATTTATACTCCTTGCACTCGTTTTCTGTTTTTCTGGTACCCTTTTTCATGATATGGAAATGTTATCTTTTGTCATTGTAGACTAAGGGTAGTGTGAAAATGCTGTCCCATAAATCACAGTTATAGATGGAGTACTCTGACATTACTTGGAGGTATAGATGCATTAAATGTACTATATTATTACAGTTCTTGGTCAAATAGGGCAATGAGACTTGGATGGAGGGACTGTATCTTTTACCTCATAATATCTTCGTTTGCTGCTTTCCAATTATACTATGTTTCTTCATTCTCATGAATCTCAACAGTCTCTGCCATTGAAATAAACAAATTTCGAGTTCTTGACTAGGTTCGCTGAGTATCTTCTTATCAACATGACAATTGCTTTCTTAGTGCTGTAGTTTTGCCATGCGCTGTTCTACGATGCAAAAGCTTTGAGTTTTAGTTCACCAATAAAAGAGAAGAAAATTCAATTTTTGTAGAATGAAGCAAGGGTGTGTGTGTTTTTTTTTTTTTTTGGATGAAAAATGGCCCAATGATATTGTGCTTTGTAATTTTATGACAACTTTAACACCTTGTTTTGGTAGTTATTATCATGCTTTATCAAATTGCTATCCCACATGGTTTAGTTCCTTGGAATCTTCTGACAACAAACATTATCAATTTATCAATGTATCAGTTTCGAATTGAAACAGCAGCTATGTCATTTTCTAGTTCATGGAGACTTATTTTGTCTGGGCTCCAAATGTTATCAGGCATGATTTAATAAGAAGATGGTGCTTTTTCAGGAAAGAGAGCTAGCACTGAGATCATTTAAGAGTGGGAATACTCCAATTTTAGTAGCAACAGATGTGGCAGCCCGTGGTCTTGATATACCCCATGTTGCTCATGTAGTTAACTTTGACCTTCCAAATGATATTGATGATTATGTACATCGTATAGGGAGAACTGGGCGTGCTGGTAAGACTGGATTAGCTACAGCTTTCTTTAATGAGAGCAATATGTCGTTGGCAAAGTCTTTAGCTGAACTGATGCAAGAGGCTAACCAAGAGGTACCTGATTGGTTGACTCGCTATGCTAGTCGGGCCTCATATGGTGGAGGTAAAGGTCGGCGGTCTAGCGGTGCTCGGTTTGGTGGGCGTGACTATAGAAGGGATTCCTCTTATAATCGAAGTGGTGGGGGATCGGATTATTATGGTGGAGGTGGTTATGGCAATTATGGAAATTATGGTGGGGGATACGGTGCTGGAGCTACAAGTGCTTGGGATTAGTGTTTTGGAATGTGTAAATGTGTTCTAACCGTACATATGTTTTATCAAAATTTGCCATTTGTAATGCCCTGCAATGCAAAAAATGTGGTTTAGTTTATTTTGAGTTTCTATTCTGAAAAAGCTTGTGTGGTCCTCCATGGATATCAGTAGAGAGAATTATGTTAGGTTAGTGAGACTGCTGATGATTAGGATCATGTCATGTAAGCCTTTTTTGTCTTCCCTATGTGGCTTTGTTCTTTCGGTCTCTGGATGTGGGAGAGGTTGTCGAGATGTGGGATAGATGGTTCTAGAATTTAAATTATCATCATGCCAATTTTCTGCAGGCATGTCCCAAAGCTGTTATAGTAGCTTATACACTTTTCCCTGTAAAAGTTTGGAGGGTTTACCAAAATTCCAGTATCTGTTTCTCTCAAATGTGTCTTTCCTCGCTGCATGTGGGGAAATTTTTTTTGAACTTGTCCTTTTTTAAAATGTGGTATGGCTTATCGTCGTGTTTGTTGGTTGTCTCCAATAAATTGGTGATGGAAAAGTTGTGATTCTTTCATGTTTAAGTCGCAAGCAGGGCTGCAAACGAATCAATCCAGCTTGGTCAAAGCCTAACTCAAAGCTCGGTGCATATGGATATGCTTGGTTTGTAGGCTCATTGAGCTGGTTTGCAGCCCAGGTCGCAAAAAAGGGGCGTCGAATGGTCGCTGCCGAATAGAGAACTGGAAAGCGGTAAAGAGTTTGCAAGCACCACAGGCTTTTTTCTGGTTCGAGGGGAGTTTCTAAGCGCGGTAGTTGATTCACAAAGTAAGTGTGTTATGGATTGAGGGTTTGGACCTTAGGTTTATGATACATATATGTATATGTGGAGCCGAGATCCTCAACTGTCATACATATGTGGAGGCCTGACTAATGATTTTAATTTTTTGTTGGTACTCGTGTTATTGTTTGAAGTAACCAAGCATTGCATCTGGTGACAAATTATGGTTTTTGCAGGATGTCGAAATGATTGGTAACCCATAATTATGTTAATGTTCAATTGAAATACTCAGAATCTAAGTTAAAGAAGCCTCATTCTCTTGTTTCTTCAGAATCACTGCTACATTCCAACGTGGTCTGAAAAAAAAAAAATCAATCTTTTGCAACTGCATTGTGATCCACAGTTTGGTGAAAAGGAAAACTTCTCATGGTTCCAGTCCTGTTATCAGCCAAGATTTCTTGCGGCACGGGTGGTAAGTAGGCATGGCCATGGTTTCACTTGGAACTGAGAACCGGACCGTTTGAAACCGGACCAGAACTGGAACCAGAACCATGGTAGAACCTTGGATAAAAGTCCTGGTTTTCTAAAAAATAGAACCAGAACCAGAACCGTCGATTCTAGAACCGTTAAAAAAAATTAAAACAATTAATATAATGAATATTTTATTACTTATGGTGATCGATTTCTTACTAATATTTTGGAACCCTCTAGTAACACTAGAGGTGGGCAAAAAATTCAATCCGATCCGAAACCCGATGAACCCGATCCGATACGATCCGAAAAATAGGATATCTGATCCGATTTTTCTTAACGGGGCAGATGCGGATTGGGTACCCGTAAAAACGGATACGGATACGGATACGGATCAGTAAAATAAAAATTCGCGGGTACCCGATCCGCAGGGTATATTATATAAATATTAAAAAAATAAGGGTTCATCATATAATTTTTATAATTTTTAATCCTAAGTGTAAGTAAAATGGTTCACAACCTCATATTCTAATCTCATATGATCTGCCTTTCCTCATATTGTCTTAAAAAAACGAATATTCTTGGTGAAACTTGAATTAAAATGAACAAAACAAAGAAAAATTAGTGAAATTCTATCATAAAATTGTTCATCCTTTTTCATTTTTATTCCACTTCCATCGATCTTTCTTGCAAATTTTTCATCAATTCAATCAAAAATTTGTGTTTGGAGCTCCAATTTTCTATTAGCTACATAATTAAAACATTTGTGTCTTTCATTTATTTGTTTTATTGCAATTGTGTCTCTTAAATTTGTCTCCTTTATTTTAGTGCAAGAAATTTATTTTTCTTTTTCATCACCTTTCATGCAATAAGGTCTATTCCAAAGATGTAAGAAAGTTGGTGAAAATTTTTCAAGATTATTTTGATTATACTTCAAAAATTATTAGCTCTGTTCAATTCTTTTCCGAACTTGATTCCACAATCGACTCATTGTGGATGCAGTCTTGTACCATAACATCCTTAAGGAAGTTGGAAAAGTTGCCAAATACTTATTATCCTTGTGTTTGTTATGTTATAAAAGGATGAAATGCGTGAGAATGGTGATGTACTCAAAATTATCATAAATTTCATTTTATCTATTAGATATTATAATTCTAATATATACTAAATTTATGAGATCGGTTTGATTATTGGATGAAATGTATGAGAATGATGATGCATGGATTTTGATTATAATATCTCTATCAATGTTAATTAGAAAGCATTTTTTTATTGAAAAATATGTTGATATTCAGTAGAGTACTCGCCCTTTTTTTTCGGGTACCCGCTATATTAGGAGCGGGTTAGGGTCGCAAAATGCCTAATCCGATATTTTAAGATCGGGTCAACCAAAACGTATTAGGGGCGGGTATCCGACTCGTACCCACCCCTAAGTAACACTGATAATAGTCTCAAAAGGGCTGTCAAAATTGGTGATAGAATACTTCTTGAAAAGTCGAAACGACAAAAGGGTTCACTTAATACTATTACGGAACTTGAGTCATATCTAACTACCAAGTTTGAGCATGATGATAGTAGCTTAACTAAACAGTTTAAAGTCCTTGACTCGTGGAAGCGAAAATCAGAGATTATCCCTATCCTCTCCCTTATTGTTAAGCAAATTTTAGCAACTCCAGCATCAACAGTAGCAGTGGAACAAGCTTTTAGTGCCGGTGGAACCATGGTTCGAAGACTCGGCCGAGATCGAGGAGACCGAGTCGTCTCCGTCTCGGCCTAGTCCGAGACGAGACCGCGATGAAATGTTTCCGAGATATGTGACAGGCCGAGATGTCACCGTGAAGGGTTAAAACGGCCGAATCACACCGAGTCACTCTGAGTCATCCCAAGTCAACTTGAATTTTTATTATTTTTACTAATTTTTTAATTATTTTTGTTTATCATATTTTTTACAATTTTTAGAATATTAAATATTTCACAAATTCGTATCTCGCCGAGATCGCGACCGATATGCCGAGACCGATGTGGAACGTTCCAAGCCGCGACCGCAACTGTGACTGCGACTTTGAACCATGGGTGGAACCATTTTGGATGAGACAAGATCGAGATTAAGCCCAGAATTACTAGAAATTCAAGCATGCGTGGATGATTGGACTAGAGCAGAATATAGACAACGAGAAATGAAAAAAGATGAAGAAATGCAATAAAAGGCAAAAACCAATAAACTAATGGATAAGAACTTTACCATTTTCTTTGCTTGGCTGGATTGTGTGTGTCTATTGAAATAACTCCCATAAGAACCTTGACTTTGGCAGTTTGAAGCAGTAGGGAGTTATATCAAGAAGATGATGAGTAAGTGGTGGTATTTCTAGGATGAGGATGGGATATCTTTTCACCTTTCTCATTCTTTCCATCCATCTTTCTGAGACTGTTGTAATTGTGCGTGCTGACAATTATTCAGTTCACACTATCGATAGCCTTCCATATGATATGCTAACTACCACTGGAATTTTTTATGGGCTTATGTCCCTAATTTCCTACTCCTGTCACTTTTGGTTGTTATTGACGAATATTGATGGGACACTTAAATGCGTTAAGGGTTCTTATACACGCGCCTGGACCGTTGTTATACACACACACATAAATCGGATTTAGCATCAGGTTTTTTTTTGATATAACATACAGGTATTCGTATCCGTTTTACGATTAATCTTATTCGAGCCAAATCGGGCCCTGGCTGGAGAAAACTCTCCCTACATTGTCCTTTTCATTTCTATGGATTTCGAACCCGAAATCTCATGATTAAAATATGCAAGCTCCTCCTACTTGCACAACGTCCGTTGGTACCATCAGGTTTTATGCATGTACGGAAGTGACTCCTATTGTAAGATGCTGGACTTTGGCAGTTTGCAGTAGGAGAGAATTAAGATAAAACAGAATTTCACTTCTACATCCTTGTAATTTCTGAGGCAATGATGATTGCATGTGTACAGTTGGTGGGATAAAATCCAAACCTAACAATTAGCATATGCAGTCACATTATTAATAATCTTCCATATGGCATTCCCATGGCAGTTCACTGTAAATCTCTATCAGACCCTCCATTCCATTTCAGCGATGATTTGAGAACGACTACGTACTCCTATTACTTTTGGTGGTGGTTTTTTACAGCGATTTGGTGAAAAATTATTGCGTTGAGAGGTCTAATACATGCCCTTGGACTGTAAAAGGGGATGGTTTCTATCTCCTAACCAAGAACATAGGAGGACCATGGTACAAAATGATGGATTGGGATATCATAGAATCAGTATGATGCAAAAATATGTTATGAACTTTTATCTTCTTCTTCTTCTCTGAATTGTACCCTATTCTCATTTATAACAAATTATCTCACTCTCTCTACTCGTTTTTTTTTTTATTGATTCGACCTCAATTACCAAGATATTACCTGTATACTTGTTTAAATGTATTTTCTCAAACTTTTACTTTTCTTCTCCTAAAATTAAGAACAATAACAAGATAAACTACTCTTTTTTTTTTCATGTTTGTGTTATCAAAAGTTGCTGCCATTTTGGTTGTAATTCTATAAAAACCTCTTTGGCCAGATTAATTTGCTGTACTTTTATTTAGCTAAATCACATTTGACTGGAAAAATCAAATCCAAGAGCATATATTTTGTCTAAAACGCATCAATCTAAATCATCACCATAGTTGGCATTTAAGATGGGAATAGAGGGCCTGAAGAACAATCGTTTGAATCGGAATATGAGCTATTGTATCAATGCTAAAATATCTATTCGTTTTAGAATTATTTTATCACTTTTATGTGGGCTGGTTTCAAGAGATCTAGTTGCTTAGCAATTGACTGTCTTTTTTTTTTTTTTGTCAATTGTCATCCCTACTCCTACTTTATCTACGGGGGAGGCTCAACTGAGCCTATGGAGACCGATGGGAACAGAACCATTACCGGACCAGACGGGTGCACTACGCACCCGTCTGGATTTGAAGCAGAGCCACAAGAGTGGCATTTTGGTGGGAGGCAAGGTTTGAACCCTTGCCTTCCACTTAGCAATTGACTGTCAATCTAAAGATGATGAGCTAAGTTATCACTTGTCATACCCTACGCCAGAGTGATGCTTTCAACTAGAAGTCCAACTGGGATAATATCAAAACCTCTCCTTAGATTTCTCCTAATATCACTTGGTACTCCTGAAATTTAGAAATATCACTTACTTTCCCTAATAATTGTAAAAAGACTGTATTAACCCTCACTTGACACATAATTCACATATCAAATAAATGGAGTTCAAAAATTTTCAAAAAAAGGAACAAAGTCACTTTCTTCTATTTCCCTTTTTTCCGTCTTTCTCTCTTACTCATTTTTTGGATGACTATACAATATTTTATTTGTAAATTATAATAAATTGAATTTTGTTTATCTTTTCCTTTTTGTGATTGTGATAAAATGGGGTATAATTTATTTGCTTATTTTGAATTAATTTTTATAATGATTGGTACAATTTAATGGTTTGGTCAAGGATTGAGACGATTTTGAAAAAAAAAAATAAAGTTCATAAGAAATTGATTTTGAACATATAGTGTTAAATGGGTGGAAGTGTATTTCTTTTCAAATAATTTTTTTTATTTTTTAAATTTATATTTTTATGGGGTATAGCATTTTGTTGTGGTAGTAATAAGAGATTGTTTTTTAGGTGGTGGTTTTATTGAAGTGAACAAAGTGGTTTATGAATATTTTTATTTTTCAAGTAAAAGGGTAGTTTAAGGTTTTTAAAAATTTTGTTACACAAAAAACAAAAGTAAGGGAGGTAAGTGATATTTTTAAAACCTTAAAAGTGCCAAGTGATATTAAGAGAAACCTCAGGAGAGGTTTCTAATATTATTCCTTTAAAGAAAGTACTTCATAGCTTATTCCTTTGTCAATGTGAGAAAAAAAAAAAATATTGGGAAATTCTGATTTGGGATAATTTTGAAAACCTCCCCTAAGGTTTCTTATAATATCACTTAGTTCCCTTGAAGTTTTTAAAATCTCACTTATCTCCGCTATCAGCTTGACAAGACCAAAAGTCCCTATTAAAAGTCACAAACTGAAACATTGTCCTTGCACTCTTAATAATTTAGTTAACCAAAAACAATTTTTAAACCAAAAGATGTAGATAAAAAATAACTAAATTGCTATCCAATATTGGTCCATATTTCTCTGTATTAAGACGGAAAGCAATTAATAGCTTGAAAGTTTTTGCGAGATAGTTATAAGGAAGTCAAGAAATTTTTTTAGAAAATACGTTTCGATACATGATGTCATTTAAATTGTACTGAAAATTTAAATAATCTTTTCAGATGCATGGCTTGTAATATAAATCCTACTTATAGAAATTTTTTTATAAGTTAGAATTAAAAAATCAATAAAAAATGACCTAATGACCAAATATATATCTAGAAATATCCCATATTTTCTTTGTTAAAAAATCATTCGTTTTCATCTTTTTACTTTTTAACCTTTTATCCACCATTGTACAAGTACAATTGATGATCTTGTTAATTCCACTCTCTTGTGCTCTGAACTGTCATCTTTATTGTAATTAAAAAAAAAAAGACAAAAAGCAATAAAGTTGAGGATAACAACAGCATTATTTATTCCTGTCTTGGGTGGGCAGTATGTATCTTCTATTGAGATGGCTCCTATAAGAAGCTCGATATACTTGGCAGTTTGGGGCACAATAGAGTTGAATTAACAAGATGGTCAATCGTACTTGTACAATGGGGATAAAATTCCTTTTCATCTTTCTTGTTTTCTCCATCCTTCCTTCCGAGGCTAGAGTGATTGCAGTTGATCGCTACGTGTATTCAGTTCACATTATTGATAATCTCCCTTACAACGTTCCCTTGGTAATTCACTGTAAATCCAGTGATCGAGATCGTGGAAATGAGACCCTTAAATTCAGCGACGATTACAACTGGGAATTCTTCATGGGAGATGGTCAAAGAGTTTCCTACTCTTGTCACTTTTGGTGGCTTAAGGGCAGAAAGCAGAAAGAATTGGTCGTTTTTGATGTTGATCTGATAAAGAATTATTGCGTTGAGAGTTCTCATGCATGCGGTTGGGTGGTAAAAGAAGATGGTTTCTACCTCTACAGCAAGCGTGGTGGAGGACCTTTCTACAAAATGGCGGATTGGGATATCAAAGAATCTGTATAATCATGAAAAAGTATCTTGGCAATGAAGCTTTTTATTTATTTATTTATTTTTTTCTGCTCAGTTCTAACAAATCTCACTCTCTCTACACGTTCTTATTGATTCTGTCTCGATTACTAACACATTTCATAAGCTTGGGGCTTATCAATTTGTAGACTTTTTGATCTTTACCACACTAAAATTAATGAACATATGACACCATTTCATCATACCTCAAATATATTTTTGCTGAGGCAACCCAAGATACCATGCTTATTTATTAGTAAAAAGTTCGAACCACTGAACTTTGGTTCAGTAGTCACCAAAAAGAGATTAAATCCCTCTATGGATCGGAGTCGGGGGGTTCGAACCCCCCCACTTACAATTAAAAAAATTCAAAGAATGTGTCGGAACAGTCTTTTAATCGAGTTGGACTTATACAATCTCTTTAATTTCCTCCTCCCTCTAAAATAGAATAAATTAGGTTATAGAAATGCTATTTTTTAAAAAAAAAAAAAATTTCTCCATTGCTAGCTCAAGGCAATTGTGGCAATGAGGGAAAGTTTCCTTCAAAAAGTGTTCTTAAGAAAGTCCCTAGATAAAGGCAGTTGAGGAATGCAAAAACACTCAATTTACCCTCCAAATTAAAATGTTTTCCTTCAGCCCTTCAAACTCAAGAAAATGTTTCAATCTGGCCATTCCATCCAACAAAAATCCAAGTTCTAGCATTTAAAGTTTTGAAGCGTATAAATGTGTACTTCTTTTATTCTATCATCTCAAAGTTTTCGTTTTCTACGACAAAAGATAATGACCACACGAACCGCATTTTTTCATGTTTTTGTCATTATTGAAAGTTGATTTCTAGAACGCGTCACCAAAGCTGCCATTTGGCTGTAACTTTGACCTCTTTGGCTAGATTTTTTTTGTACAGTTGTTTACCTACACCATATTTTACCTGGAAACATCAAGTCCAAGAATATATATGTATACATATATATTGTGTAAAATTTTCGTTTTAAGATGAGTTTGCCCTTGCTCTCGAAATTTTAAGACGAGTTTGCCTTTCAAACCCTATACCTGCAAATCACATGATGTCCATTCTGTTTGTCTCAACAGTCAAATTAAACGGAATGACACAAAACATACAATTTGGTTAGTTCAATAACATTTTCGACTAAGAAAATAATTTAGTGACCTAAACTAGTACAAGTGTATACACCATTTGCTCTAAGAATTAATCTAACGTATGGAGGGATTTTACAATTCATGTTTAATTAAATTTGTACATTTGGCACACATCCAAGTCGATGATGTAAAAATATTTTTACACAAATGACGTAAGAAAGATAATTCCGCAAGCAAACTACATACCAACAAAAAAAAAAGATTTTTATTCTTTTTTTTCTGTTGATACGATAGCTTCCTACACTATGGGGAGAGAGAGGGCCTGAAGTGGTGTTGGGGTAATCTGGAGTGGACTGAACCACCATCGGACCAAACGGGTGCACTACGCACTTGCAAAAATTTTTTAAGCAAGGCCGCATTTAATTGTGACAAATTAGTGGGAGACCTCCCACCCTACCAAGCTTTAATGCATTGGTGATGGCCACCAGCTCAAAGAGTGGTGGTTTCGGACAACATTAGAAATAATGTGATAGACGATAAAAAAGAAAATAGAAGAAATCCGTTGAGTGAGTATCAAAATCCGTTGGCCTTTTAATGAAAAAGAAGGCAATAAAAGACAAAAACGAATAATAAAATTGTGGATAAGAACATCATTATTTCTTGGACTGGGTGGATTGTAAATTAGCTCTATAATAAAGAACCTGGACTTTGGCAATAAAGAAGCTGGACTTGGAGTGGGAAAGTTTGGTTCAGAAAGTACTTGTTGAGATCCAAAGCCACCAGTCGCAGGTTTTGCAGGCTGGCTTCTGAGCAGATTTTTGCTGCCTCCTAACGATTTTTGCTGCTATAGATTTCAAAGGCACCGTGATATCCAGGGGAGCACGAAGCACTTCTTCCAACTCATATGCCATTCAACATCTTCAGAGTCACCATCTTCATAGGCCACCACCCTGTACCAGCCCATTTCCTCATGAAACTCAGTGACTTTTCCAGCATAATACTGACCTCCAAATAATTTCAGAACTTCTCTTCCAACCAAACCATAACCATTCACCAAAACCAGGATCTTCATGTTGTTTAGCATCACTGACAACATTACTAGCAGGAGCAGCAGAATCTCTTGGACCCATTGGAGGCATGCAAATTCATCACAATGGCAGGTTCTCCTGGTAGCTGAAAGATCCCTGTTGCTGGTCTCTGTAATTCTTCCACTTTGCATGTGTTAATTTTATACCAGCCAACGTCCTTAATTTTGTGAAACCTAACGCCCTGTCCAAACAAGTTTACGATCCTATTGACAAAAAAGAAGCCTAAGAATGATATAGTTATAAATTTGTATTGGCAGTAAGTAAACAAACGTATCAACTCAGGGGGAGCAGGTCAATAAGGCCTTCCCACTTTCTGAGAGAGCATTATTCAGAAGCTGGGGCATAGTTCCCCTTTTGACAAAAATACGACAATGTTAAAACTCGTTTTGGATATTGACTCCCATATTATGCTGGAATTCTACGAGTATAACAGAAAGCTAACACAAAATATAAACCCTTTGCATGAGAAAAGGGTTTATGCAACAGTTCAAGCTCGCTAACCAAGCAACAAAGCCAAAAAAAAAAAAGAAAAAAAGAAAAAGAGAACAAAAATAGTGTCATTATTTGTATATAAAGATTAAAGACTAAAGGATGAACAATCACAACCAAAAGATCATTAACCTATCATTAGATACCACCAGGAACCATCACTAATGAAAGAAGTAGAAATCACTCACAGATCCAAAAGAGAAATTCAGCTCATGAAAATAAATAATTAGATTACTTCAGGCTGTGTGAAGCCCAAAATTCTCCGAATGCATTCGTGGTTATACACCTGAAAACCTATAACTCAAGGTGCCTGAGACCATCATCAAATATAGCTTGTTTAAAGTCTGAATGCGGATCATGTTTCTGGTCTAACAATTATAACATTGGATAAATGGCCAAGCACAACTATTATTCACAAAAAGTTAACCAATGAAATACAGACAGTCATGGAGAACTGGCCAAATTCCATTATATGATTAGAAAGCTAATCCAGCCAAACCAGGTTCCACATTTTGATATGGATGAAAAGCATTAGCGAAATGCACTAAATAAACGCTCCCAAAAAAAAAAAAAAAGAGCTGGTTCACAGAACTTGGAATTAATCAATTGGGGTAGAACGTGTACAGGAGAGATTCATGAACAACCAGGAGATACTACTACAATAAATCAGCATACCGGCTCAGGTATTCCAATAACGTACGCGAGGGCATAGGAAAGTGCTCAACACATTAGTACTAGTACACTGTTTCCAAATTAAATTTCAAGAATTTTATAAGCCAAAAATAAATAAATTTAAAGAAAACAGAGACAAAATAGGGGCTATTATGGAGAAACACATCCAAGAAAATCCGATGAATTTTTCAGCTGGCAAGAAATATATACACCTCAGTAGATAAAGAAGAGTGAGAGCTGAGCTGCAAAATAGTTTGAGAAGCCTAAGACGAAGAAGAGGGGCTTTGAAAAAAGGACGAATCTTTTCTGAAATTTCTTTCTTAGAGATAATTCTCAGAAAAAAAATCCACCATTTTGCTTCCTCTTCGTCTTCTCTGCTTCTCCTTCCTCGTTCGAGATCCCCCAAGAAAAACCCGATTTTTCTCCATGTATTTCTTCCCTAATCTTTTCTTGCTAAAAACCCGACTTCCCAATCTTTTCATTTGCATCTACAGTCAATTCACCTGAGGCCAAAATTGGCGGTTTAGGAGAGAAAAGGTGCTAAAGGCGTGGAAAGATAGTGAAAGCTAAAGGCATCGTGACACGGAGGAGAGGAGCACCAGCCATCGAGGAAGCAATGGCAATAAGGAGTGCGTTGGAAATGGCCACAAATGCAGGATGGACTACAATAGAGGTCCAATCTGATTGCAAATGTGTGGCGAGCCTAATCAACTCAAGCAATGCACAGGATTGTAAGCTACAAACGATCCTGGATGACATTGAAGACTTGACGAAGAACTTTGACTGTTGTGTGTTTTTGTTTATTCCCAGGACTGCTAATAGTTGTAGCCATGCTTTGGCTCAATTTGCAGTTAAGCCAGTTAGGATAATTGAATGGGAGGGATCATTTCCATCTTGGTTATCAGAACTAGCTAGGAAAGATATGGGGATAGTTACCCCGTTTTGTAATTAACTCTTGTAATTTCAAGTGTTAATATATAGAAAATTGGTATCGTTTGTCAAAAAAAGGAGAGAAAAGGTGCTAGTAACCTTTCCAGTCCTTTTTGGCGGGTTGGGAATTGAGGATGAATGAGAATTTATTACTAATGGTATTTTCTTTTTCATTTTTGACTAATAACCTAAAACTTATTTATTAGCACTAATAATTTAAAACTTATTTATTACTAACAATTTAAAAATTATTTATTATTAATAATTATTATATATATATATATATTAATGTTTTAAATTACAAGAATCTGCTCCATTCCAATAGAGACTGTGGTAAATCGTATACAAGAAATCGTAATTGTTGACTGATTTCTACATTATTCAATTGACCATTCATATTTTATTTATATTTGTTTGTGATTATATCATCGAAAATCTTTCTTCAAATTCGAAGGCTGCCAATAGAAAAGTTTTTTTTTATTTAAATTTTTTCTTTTCTTTTAGGATTGTGAAGGCTCATATACAATCGATTACTTTCGACAAAGTGAATTATTTCATGCTCCATAGGCATATCAAGCTTTGTCATATCTTAATAGGAAAAAAAAGGAAATTTGATACTTGATACCAGTTTTATTTATCAAAAAAAAAAAAGTTTGTCTAACGGGTGCCTTAAGATATATTTCGAGTATTATATTTTTGAAAATATAAGATTAATTAGAAAAAGTAAATAAATACAGCGAGGGTAGACAAGATTAAATAGGAAAAGTATGTAAATACAAGATATGATAATAATAATTATTAGTATGTGTATATATATAGTAGGTTAAGTGAATATTAGGTGTATTAATGAGTCACCAGTTAGAAAAATTCAAAAAAAAAAAAAGGCAATGAGATTTCAGATTATGTAAACCTTTCTTCTTTTTTTTTTTTTATCCAAAATTGTAGTTTTTTTTTTTTTTTTACATAGAATAGTAGTACCATCACAACATTTAGAGTTATAGACCCTTGTTATAATCGGTAATGCTACTATTTTTTAAATTTTTTCATGAGAGCCTTCTAAAATTATAATTTGTAAAAGAGTCCATTATTAGTATTAATCTAAAACTAGCTATCGATAACTATTCATCTTCCAACATATATAACAAAACAACGAGAAAACAATAGTAGTCTTGCAATTCATTTGGGCAAAAAAGCTTGCGATTGTTGTTCAAGAAATTTGAACAAGAATTTAGTGCAAGAAGTATAACAAGCAAATCAAGATTGTGATTATCTTCTAAAGAATTCAGACAAAAACCCATATAAAAAGTATCAAAACCTGCTTATTGTAAGTTTTTTTTTTTCTAATTCTTTTTATTTATGTCGATGACTTATAATATGGTATCAATATAGTTTAAATACTAATGGCGGATACAGGAATTAATTAATTGCCATTGTTGTAAGGAGAATTGAAGAAGACCCATTATTTAAGACAATAAGAATTAAGTGGTCATTTCAGCAATTACCATAAGGCATCCGTAACTTCCAAGAACTCACGGACCGTGATGGTCATGTTTTCCCTTCACATATTTACTTTTCCATAGTCATGTTGTTTCTTCTACATACGTATAAATTGCACCTAGAGTACCCTCACACTTGCCTAAACCAAATTATCAAGAAATCAAACAAAAACTTTGAGTTTACAGCGTTCTCTTTTATCATCAAGATTGGAGAACCAACTTCTTTGTATTTTCTCCAGCGTGACAAATAAAAGCAATCTAAATTTCCAGCAGAGGTACATTGTTTAGTGCCTCTCAGATTATATTACCAGAAAGTAAAGAGAAAAAAGAAAAGTTCTTGAATATGGAGCACGGGAGAGAAAGTGATCAAGAATCCAGAGCGAGCAACAAGAACTCTGGAAACGAATCAAAGAAGGTGGAGGAGGAGGAGGAGTTCAAGTCAGAAACAGAGAGTTCTCCTCCAGAAGAAGGAAGTGAAGAAGAAGTCCAATCCCAAGAATCAGGGGTGGCCATTCATTCCAACTATCACATTGTCGGTGGAGGAGGAGTACGTGATGAGGAAGAAGACGCATTCGTTGATGAAGAAGAATCTGGGAGGAGGAGAAAAATCAGCTGAAGAAGAACAATTTGATATGGAGGAAGATGCATTCACTGATGAAACACAGAGTTCTGCCTCTGAAGAAGAAGAAAATGAAGAAGGAAGCGAATCCCAAGAAACAGGGGGGGCCACTAATTCCAGATATCCCCCTGTTGGTGAAGAAGAACTATCTGGGGAGGATACAGATGATTCCGCTGATGAAGATCAATATGATACGGAGGAAGTTGTTCTTGCTGGTCCGAATCCTCCACCTGCGCTTCACCCTGATATCAAGAATTGGATTCAAACGCTATCCAAGGGGCAGGACATATCTATTTCTGATGAGATTTTGGTGATTCAAAAGTTGCTGTTTGAATCTGAAGCTACTGGGGACCGGTTCATCATTCCATTAGGGATTATTTGGAATGAGCTTTTCAACGATGATGAAATAAAAATACTCAACATTGAAAATTTTATCCGCGTTACCATGATCGACCCTGTGGTCGAAAATGTTTTCGTTGAGTTGAAAAGGAATCTAATGCTGTCTAGTGATAAGGCTGGAGGTGAACCTAGCAGAGCGTATGTCTTGATCGGAGATTGGAATCGCTTCGCAGCCGCCAAAAATCTGGAAGAAGGAGACATTGTGCAACTGTGGGCAGTTCGAGTTGGTGGAAATTTGTGTTTTCTTCTTGTTAAACTGTCGACAGGTGGAGGAGACGGCAGCGGCTGCAATGCAAGCGTTTCAGGTGGCACTGATACTCATCAAAGTGAAGCTCAAGCGACCATCGACCATTTGAAGAATGAAGATTGTTAGCTTCTATTGTTGTTCTAAAATGTTTGCTCAAGTGCAGGGAAACTTTGTCACTTTCTATGCTAATATTGGCTTCTTGCACGTGTTTTCATGTTTGCTTTTCTCCCATTTTCTCGCTCTGTAGCCCTTCAAATGTCATATAAGCTCCCCAGAATGTAATACTTTTTTTTTTTTTTTTCCCTGACGTAGGGGGTATCCAGGCCATCGGGTAAAGCAGACCCGACTAATCCCCCATCGACTTGGGAGGAGAGGCCCCATCCCCTCGAACACGATAACCATGGGACTCGAACTCTGGCGGACACTGGATAATGGCTCCTAAGGAGGCGTGCCGTGACCAATCGAGCTACCCATGAGAGCCCCCAGAATGTAATACGATTGGTTCATGGGCAGCCCTGTACGTCTCAGATTTGTTGAAGTCTTATTGTTGGCTTCATTATTCTCTGGTTCCTCGTCAGTTTCATTTCCTGCAGTTGTCAGATTATGAAGAACAAACCACATATTTTCCCCTGCTCCGACTGCCCATAATTGCAAAACGTCTCCCATTTTGAGATTGTTCCTGGACTTTATATCATTCCAATTCTTAGTTAACCCATAGCACATGCTATCCTCTCCTGAAGCTGGATTGGGATTCCACCTCTTCAAGAGCAACAAACTAAATTTGAGCCTGGGTTCGACACATATTACGGGAAGAAAAAAGAGATCTTCTCCAACATCGTCACGATCCTCACCCATTTTGAGGTGAGCCACTTCATCCGAATCAAGACAATTTCTATAATTTTCTTGTATCTGATTAGATGGAATAAAAAAGCAGCCCTGTTGGTCATCAACATCACGACTGGTCAGGGACTTTTGAATTACCAAAATCTCACCATCAATGGAGTTTGCCCCTGATAGTTCTTGAATTTTGCTCTTGAATTGAATGGGGAGCGCTGAACGTGTCGGCTCTCTTGGATTCTTCTTCTTGGCTCCATTGTCAGCAATCTTGTCATTTTCTCCTCTTCTTTGGTCCATATCCTTGAACAATTTTGTTACTGCTACCAGTAAACGGTTGGACGTTTGAATAATTCTACAATTCTTCTCAGACTAAAAGTAATGATCGATCCTTGATGGGATAAAAACTAGAAAGAAAAATTTAGCTGTTGAAGAAGAAATTAGCTTGTTAAGAAATATTTGGTGAGGTAGCAGAACGAGGGTCCTCCAGCATTTTTCCAAATTGTCAACCTATTTGTTGTATAATAAATGTGGAGTTGTTGTTTGGAAAATAAAAGTCATGTAGTATATCAGTTGCATTGATTTTCTGATCTCTCTTGCAAATGAGTTTTTTTTTTTTGGATAATGCAAATGAGTTAAATAACTGGATAAGAATAGTAATGATAATTAAGCTAATTCTTTGCATTTTTTTTTTTTTGAGATTTGATGAGTTGATTTTTTGCGTGGGCAATGATACCTATGTGCTCAGAAATTCACCCTAGCAAATGAAACTATTCCAAAGAGATTACTTGGTTTTACTTGTAATGATTTAACATCATCTAATTTAATTGCTATAGTGTTTTTCGATTTCCCTTCTATAGGAGCAGGAGTCAAACTCAAGCTATTTCATGTACAAAACATATGCTGGTCCTACTTTGGCCTTGTTCTCGGTTGCTTTAGATTTTAAAAATTTTGTTATAGAAACTTACTATAGAAAATGATTAGAATCAGCAAAAGTTACTCTTTAGGTGATTATAGATTATAGTTTTTTTTTTATCATTAACGCATCTATAATTAAAATACAAAAACAATCGAGAACAGCACAAAAATTAAAATCGATAATCAATTAATGTAATCAATCGAGAACAAGCCCTTTGTCCTCTTTAAGTTGTTTAACATCACTCAAACCAAATTTGATTGAATTGTAGTTGTTGTTAGACAAATATGCCCTTCTTTCTTATTTTTCATTTACCTTTTCATTTCTTTTTCTTATTTTTCTTCTTGTTTTCTCTTTTTTATTCTTTACTTTTCCATGACACTATCTTCTCATGCTTGTTTGCATTTGCATAAGTGGAATGGATTCTTTACTTGTTTAATTCCATTCTCCCAATATGGGTGCAATCTCTATATTTGCTATTACAATATTCACTATAAACAGTTGATTGGTCATAAAATAAAACATACCTGAACAATTTATTCTAATTAAATATTCTAGTATGCCTTGGATCAATATGAGTAGTGTGACACTCTTGTTAAATAGTTAATTAATTGATTAATACAGTTTATGCTAATTAAATATTCTAGTCTGTCTCTGATCACTATAAGTACCGCAATACTATTGAAAACTAGTTAAATAATTTATCAATTTTTTATACAATTTATTTTAATTAAAGTATGCATATGATAATTTATAAGTAGTGTGATAATATTGTTAACTAATTAATTAATTGGTTGGGGGTGGGAAGGGCTGGTGGTTTGGAGTAGGGATGTAATTGAGTCGAGTCGACCTCGAATATCGCCATACTCGACCTCGACTCGACATGCAAGAAGGATGCTCGAGCTCGAACTCGATGTATTACTCACAGAACTCGAGATCGACTCGAATGGGTTCGAGTCAATGCGAGTCTTTTCGCAACCGAGTTAGAAAATTTTATTTTCTTAACAATTTTTGAGCGAAAAGACATTATTGCCTATTAAAAATTTTCATACTACCTAAAACATTTCGTAAATTCAACCAATCTTTTGGCCATAAGGATAATTTTATAATAATAATATGTTAAAGAATTAAAATTTAAAAGCTTGATAAGGCTCAACGAGCCTTCGAGCATTGCTTTTAAATACTTGAACTCGACTTGCTCAGCTTATCGAGGTACTCAAATTCGGTTTGACCGAGTTCGCGAGCAGCTCGTTTTGATTACAGCCCTAGTTTGAAAGGAGGGAGTGTAAATAAGAGGTCTCAAGTTCGCTAAAAAAAGTACTTAATTAATTGGTCAATTTTTATACAATTTATTTTGTTTAAAGTATTACTCCGACCATTTTAAGGAGTGTGATACTACTGTTAACTAGTCAATTAATTGATCAATATTTTGTACAACTTAAAGTAATTAAGGTATGCCTCTGATCACTATAAGTAGTGTGATACTATTGTTAACAAGTTAAAGAAGAGATGTTCAGATCCTTTGCTAATTGAAATCCATCCCTGAGTGCACAGCACTCAGCTAGTGGGACTGAGCAGGTTCCAATTTTTCTTTGCAAAGCTTGCCGCCAACATCCATTACAGTCACAAATAATGCCTCCAACTCCACCTTTGTTTGACGGTCCTGAGACAGAGCCATTAGTACTTAGTCTTGCCCAATTAGGTGCCGGAAGGATCCATCTGATGAAGATTTCCTATTTCTTCATTTGTTGAGGATTGACAAGTTCTAGGAGGTAGAATTCATGTGCTAGATGAAGACAACATTTGTCTGGATCTTCTCTCTAAGTGGGAAATCTAAAAAGTTTTTCATTTCGAAAATGCCAAAGACTCCAACAGCCAAAAACTGAAATTGGTGCCCCAAGAAATATGTATAAAAGGGGAATTTGAGACATGATATACATCCCCTTTTTAGCCATTCATGAGAATTAGTATTGCCTGAAGGAAGGAAGGCAGGCAGGAAGATTCTGTTCCAGAAGTTCGAAGCAACATGACAATTTCTAAGAATGCGGTTGGTGTTTTCAAAAAGGGGATGTAAATAAGAGGTCTTAAGTTCAGAAAGGGTTGGGTGGTTCGAAGGTAGGGATTGTAAATAAGACGTTTTAGGTTCGAACCCTCCCACTTACGATAAAAAAAACTAGTTAATTAATTAATCAATTTTTTTATACAATTTATTCTATTTAAAATATGTCCTGATCGCTATAAGGAGTTTGATAATATTGTTAACTAGTCAATTAATTGGTCAATTGCTTTTGTACAATTTATAACTAATTAAAGAGGAGATGTTCAGATCCTTTGCTAATTGACATCCATCCTGCGCTCAGCTAGTAGGACTGAGCAAGTTCTAAATTTCTAGCAAAACCTGCCAGCCAACATCCATTGCAGTCACGAATAATGTCTCCAGCTCCTGCTTTGTTTGATGGTCATGAAACAAAGCCATCAGTACTTAGTTTTGCCCAACTAGGTGCCGAGAGGATCCATCTGATGAAGATTTCCAGTTTCTTCATTTGTTGAGGTTGACAAGTTCCAGGAGTTAGAATTCATGTGCCAGATGAAGACAGCATTGACTGGACCTTCTTGCTAAGTGGGATTTCTGAAAAGTTTTCATTTCAAAAATGTCAGAGGCTCAACAGCCAAAACTGAAAATGTGCCCAGGGCGTATGGTTAAAAGGGATTTGAGATGTGATATGAATCCCCTTTTTAGCCATTCATGAAATTAGTATTGCCTAAAATAAGGGAGGAAGACGGAGATTTTGAAGCAACATGACAATTTCAAAGGACACGGTTGGTGTCTTCAAAATTAGCTCTATGGTTTGTTTGGTAGTATGGTTAAACCTCAAAAGAGGTAAATATAATCAACCCTTATTTTTCCTGTCTAGAACCAATTTTCTACCCCAAACTTTACCCACTACTCAAATACTCAACAAAAGTTAATTCATAATGTAATTACTCCAACACCAAGAATTGTTAATATTAGGAGAAACCTCCCCTAAGTTTCTTTCAATATTACTTAGCATCTCTAAGATTTTAAAAATATTACTTACCTTCCTTATTTTTGTTATTTGTGCAACAAAAATTTTAAAATTCAATAATACCTTTTTGCTCATTTTACTAAATAAAAATATGAAAAATCATTCAAAACGTTCTTCATATTTCGTCAAGTGAATCTTTCGTCCTTTACTTTTAAATAGTAACTTTTGTCACTTACAAAATCAAGTTGATAATATTAGTTCCAACCTAATTTTTTTTTACCGCTTTTTACGTTGAATTCATCGTGTAACCCACATACAGTCATTTTTTGTTAAAATGGTTAAATTTCATTTGTAATTAAATAATGGCTTGATCCATAATCACTTTGCACCTGAAAATGTAGAATTTGACTTGAATCATATTTATTTTTCTCCTAAAAGTGGCATTTGATCTAATTCATATTCATTTTTTTATCTCTAACAAAGGTGAGATTTGACCCTTGTGTACATAAAAAATGACTGCATACAGGTCACACAGTGTTTTCAAGCTAAAAAGTGGTAAAAAAAACTTAGATTTGAACAAAATTTTGCTAATTTGAATTGTAAGAGACGTAAAATTAACTTTTTAAAAGTAAAGGACAAAAAATTCATTAGGTGAAACATGAGGAATGTTTTGAACGATTTCCCATAAAAATACTTCTAAATCATTTTGTTTACTCAAGAAAAATAAAAAATTTAACACTCTATTTTTTGGATGTAAAATATTTTCACCTGAAATTATTTTATAGGAAAATATTTGCATTTTAATAATTTTCGTATTTGGTGCAATTTTGCAACTTTATCCTACCCTCAAAACGATCATGATGATCAACACCACCACACCACCACTATTCTTTACTGATTACTACACCACCACGTTAAGCGACAAACCCTTAACCATGGAATCCATCTTCTCACCACTTTTGGGTGTTGGTTGTAATTTTGTAACTTTGGACGTAAGGTTCTTTGTTAACAGATATTATGAGTTTCAATTTAGTTAAAGACACATTCTTCGCAGTTGTGATCTTCTATGCCTCTATTCGGTGCCAAATCCAGTGCCAATTTCACTTATCACGCTGATGGCAGAAGATATTTAAATAAACAGCACATGACAAATTAAATAAACGGACACTTGTCATAAATATAGATGTTACTGAATTGTCACTGGAAAAATGGCACTGAGGATCTCCTGTGCATTCTTCGGAAAAACAAGTTCGTAGCTCATTTAGGAAGTTATTTATATTTCCCTGGGAAAATATTTTACCGTAAAATGTATTTTCACTAGTTTTAGAGCAACAAAACACTGGATTATTGAAAACGTTTTCTAGAAAATATTTTCA